CCCCCCTGCATCGATCGCGGAGGGCGCATTCCGGCGGGGTCGATGAATTTTGAAAAGCCCCTACGCCATCCCAACGGGATGGACCACCCCCACAACGCCAATGCGTCCACTCGGGCAAACCGTAGCCCGTATAAAATAGTCCTCCTGATCCTCCTCCTCCGAATGATGAGGACGGTGAATTGACCGTACCGAACGTGAAGGCGACGCGCGCGCCGTCAAATCGCGTTGCTGAACAGGAGATGTTGCTTTTTTCGCTTCAGCGGCGCCATTGCGCGGAATTTGTGGTAGACGCCGAGGGCGCTTGAGATCAAAAACCACCGATAGCGGTCAAAAACCTTCGAGGTGTAGGTCTCCTTGGAGGCGACCCCCATCTGCTGCTGGAGGACGTTGAAATAGACGGCGGAGTGCAGGCCGAGGCCTTGTGGGTTGTACAAGTCGGCGAGAAGTGGGTTCTGCGCGAGAAGCCGGGCCTCGTCGGCGATCCGATCCGCCGGGCTGGCGGGGAGCGTCAGGCGCCGCGTGAAGGCGTGCGCGATGAAGCGGGATTGGATCTCGAACATCAGAAAAGGCGGCAGCAACCCGTTCTGGGTGCCGACAAAGGCGAGGGAAGGGTGGGCGGTGGAAATGGTGCCCAAATACAGCCCGCGCCTGTCAAAATGGGCGTCCGGGGGGGCCGGATTGGGCCCGGGCAGCAGGCGACTCGGATCCCCCTCCAACTCCCGGCGCAGGGTGGGGTGGAGAAAGGGAAAGCGCAGGTGGTAGCCCGTCGCGCTGACCACGACGTCGATGTGGTCGATAAAAACCCCCTGCTCGGTCAAGGAGGTCCCGGGGCGGCGCCCCAGATGGTGCCTCGCGGCCTCATCGAGAAGCTCGCCCTGGGGGACCCGGGCGGTGGGGTCGGGGGCGAAGAGAAGCCCCCGGTCCTCCGCCCCCAGGACGGCGCCGACGCGCGGGATGGCCTCGATGTGGTGGTTGCGGTAGCGCATCCACCGCTGGAGCAGGGCGTTGGCCTTGTGGACGTCCCCCCGCCAGGCGGGGAGGCGGAGGAGGGCCAGGCTGAGCAGCGTCGCCGCGTCGCGGATGGCCCCGCCGCGCGGGGGCTCGCGGGGCCGCCAAAACCCCCCCCAAACCCCCTCCTCGGCCGCCGCGGGGCCAAGGAGGGTGCTGTGGTAGACCTCCGCGCCGAAGCGCTTGAGGGCGAGGCCGTAGTCGTAGGCCGTGAGGCCGTCCCCGACGACGACGACGCGCTTCCGGCGGAGGGCGCGGAAGTCCTTGAGGTGGGCGGCGTGGAAAAGTTCCCCCCCCGCGCGGGTGTAGGCGGCGAGGCGGCGGCGGAGGTCGCCGGGGTAGGCCGCGGCGTGGGTCCGCCCGGTGCACACGCAAACCCGGTCAAAGGCGAACTCCAGGACGTCGCCGCTGACGACGTTCACCGTCAGCAGCTTCCACAGCCCGTCCCGGGCGTCCAGCCGGGCCGACTCGACTTTGGTGTTGAAGCGCGTCAGGCCGTGCACGCCGCGCGCCTCCGCGCAGCGCCCGAGGTAGTGCCGGACGGCCCCGTGGTGCGGGAACTGCGCGACGCGGTAGTCGAAGCGGAGGTCGCTGAAGGCCATCAGATCCTTCGGTAGCGGGCAGCGCATTGTGGGGTAAATCGGCGAGATCAGGCCCCGCGAGGAGAAAGCGTCGTGGCTGCTGCTCTGCCACACCCCCCCAGGGGCCGACGCGAGGTCGAAGCAGGTCACCAAAAGCCCGTGCTGGCGCAGCGTCGCCGTCGCCGTCATGCCGGCGGCACCGCAACCGATCACCGCACACGTCTGCATACTAATGAGGGGGAGGGGGAAAAAAATAAAAAAGAAAGAAAAAAGGCAAAAAGCCTTCTCCGAAACGGTAAAATAATAATAATAATAATAATAATAATAATAATAAATAGATATAGAAACCCCTGTGTGTGTGTGTATGGATGTAGATGTCAGATGAGGGAATCGGGAAGAGACCAAAGAAAAGACGCCGGGGTTGCGTACACGGACACAATGCGGGAGTCAAAAAAAAAGTGATCAATAAGCCGAGTGATGAATCATCGTCAAAGGTGGGAGTAGTTCCATCCCAAAAGTGCGAATTTTCGATTGGAATGCCTAGCACATTTACACCGCAAACGCATTCGTCGTCGTGCAATAGTTTACATGAGTGTGGTGCACTGTTCGTTCCACCACGTCAAAGAAAATACCCCCCAGTGCACCTTTGAACATCAAAAAGCGCAACGCAAAGTACAACAACGAAAAAAAAAATGTGGTTTATAGGATATAGAGTTCTTTTCTTTTCTTTATTTTTATTTTTTAGGGTTCGTCTTACATGACCGCGACTCGGCCGTTGAAGTAGCTACCGACAAGGCCCGTGCGGGGCAAACGCAGCTGTTGGTCGATGGATTCCTGGTATAACTCCGAGGTGATGCCCATCAAGCGGCGCCAGGTCGCCATGCGCTCCTCCTCGACGGTGGGCTGTGGTTGGATGAAGCTCGCGACGTCCTTAAACAGCAGGAGCCGGACCTCGATGTTGGTGACCATAGGAATGAAGGCCCGGGCCTCGGCCAGGCGGCGCGCGAGGGCGCGGGTTTCCTCG